AGGGAAAAGATTTGCCTAGAAAATGTTTTGCAGGGAAAATGATTTCAAATGTGTTTGATTGGTATAATTTTCCACCCGAAAAATTTTTAAATTTTCTATTCGTTTGGCTTTGTTTTACATGGAAATTGTCCATTAAAGTGATATTTTTTCCACAATTGGTTATAAAATTTGTTTCCATTGCCAAAAGTCAAAAAAAGGGGGGAAAAAATTGTTTCCTAAAAAATCATTTTTTCATTAAAGTTTAGTATTTGTTTGACTTTATTTTACATGAAAATTGTCCATTAAAATGAAAATATTTTTTACCATTAGTTGTGACATTTGTTTCCATTGCAAAGAAAAAAAAATTCAGCCAGTCAGGAAAATATTTTCCCACCAAAAAGGCTGGAAAACATTTTTATCAAAAACCCGGAAATTGCACACGTNTGGGAAAAATCCGGAAAATATTTTCCGTGGAAAATTTCGCCTATCAAACAGCCAAAAAAATGGAAAGTGAAAAATATTTTCCTACTTTCCCGAAAAATGTGGCCTATCAAACACAGCCTTATTTTTATTTTTTAAAAATATGATTTTAAATTTAAAAACATTAAAATAAAAATAAAAGGCTGGGACTAACTACCATGTTCTCAATCCCTTTTCCTAATTATTGGGACAAGATATTTTGTCATTGACTCCTGATGGAGCAAGACGGGAACAACAGCAATGTAAACAATCCAAAATTCGATTAATTCATGATATGGCCCTTGAATGTTTATATTTACAAAGTTGTCTTTTTAGATTGGAATAGTGTCAAGAAATTTAAAGTGAAGCTTGTCTTCATGAGTAGAGATGGCAAAGTTCCTCGCTTTCACTCGTGCCCCATTAAGTAATCAGAGCGGGGACAAGAAACATGATCCATGTCGAATCTTTTAAATTTATTTTATTTTTATATTTTTAAAAATAAATTGTATATTAAAAGAATAGTAATAATAATAATAATTAAACAGCTTCTGCAAAAGGAGATCTTTTAATCTTGTTATGCCTCTCGTCTCTCGAAAATTCACGACTAGGTAGGGTCATGAACAGTAGAACTTTCAACCTCATGCTCACTTCCATATTTGACAAAGAGTAATGCTATTCATCCCCACTAGAGTTGAGCATTAGTTTAGGTGACAATTACAAGGCATCAAATGAATCAACTCTAGTGAGGATGAATATCATTACTTTTTGACAAATAGGTCTTATTTCCATGTAGTTTTTTTATGCGTCGGTGATTTATTTGCTCGTATAAGTCATGTTAAAAAACAGCACTCGTTGGTTCTAATTGCATAACTTCATTAATCAGTGTCGTCCCAAACAAAAAGGTAAAATAAATAGAAGAATACAGTATGTCCATAAAATGGATTTTTCCAAATAAAAAAGCATGAGAAGCTAACATGCATCCCACTCTACTATCGTGTCAGGGAGTAAAGTAACAACGACCATGTCAACTTGTCGGAACAAAACTTTGACATCATAAGGCTAATCCGCATCCAAAGCAAATTGAAAACTAAATTCCAAAAAGCCTTCAAGGTAGGAGGTATGGATGATCAAAAAACCTGACAAACCCGATACCCATGGAGCCCCCCCAGTATGGAGAGGGGATTACCCGCTTAATCGGGTATTCGAGAGGGGTAACTTTACCTCGGGGCGGGTTCGGGCAACGAGTGCCCGCCTCGTCCCGTCCCGCCCCGCCCCGCCCCGCCCCATCCCATTTTATTTATTTATTTATTTATTATGAATTCAATACTTTAAATGAAAAATTTCACAAAATTTCATTAGTTCTAATAGAAAATGACAACTAAAATTATTTAAAAAATATTACAAACAATAAAAACTTTAATTTATCAAATATATTTTATTTATTTATTTATTTATTATGAATTCAATACTTTAAATGAAAATTTTCACGAAATTTCATTAGTTCTAATAGAAAATGACAACTAAAATTATTTAAAAAATATTACAAACAATAAAAACTTTAATTTATCAAATATATTTGAATAATTTAACTTTTAAAAATAAGAAAAGATTAAAATATATTATTGTCTTAGTCTAATGAATAGGAACAATAAAATGAATTATCAAAAACAAAAAAAAAATTAAATGGGATAGGAAACGGAGCAAGGGCCTCGCCCCGCCTCGCCTTAAACGAGTAACAGGGCAGGGAATTGGTTGACGGGCCGAGGGTGAGGGAGGTTGCACCGACCCCGCCCCCTTGCCATCCTTACTTCAAGGTACACTAGGAATTACATTTTGAAATTCAGAATATGACGCTTCGATTTAAACAAGACCCTCTTTAAGACCTAAGTGCTAGCACATGTACATCCTCCAACGAGAAGAGCTGAGTGGTCTTTTAGCCAATGCCGCCACACCACTTCACAGTCCATCGAGCACCTTGCACATGCCCTCCCAATTTCGCCATCTCCATTGCCTCTTTGTAGCCACCCCCTCAGCTCTTTCCCTAAACAATCCATCAACTCTTTTCAACAATGCCACTAGCCGGCCTCTTTCCCACAAAGCACTATATACCTAATTCCACCTTCTCAAATTCCCTTAAGATCCGTTTGATTGTAAGAGTGGAATTTGAGTGGACAGAAAATGAATTATAGGGAATTGAATTGCCTATAATTATTTTCATGAGAATTGTCAATTAATTATGTTTTATTGGTATAATTTTTCACCTGAAAATGTTGAAATTTTGGATCTTTTGGTGTTCGTGTAACTTTGTTTTTAATGAAAATTGTCCATTTGTTTCCATTGCCTAAAAAAAAAAAATTCTGAAAAACCACTGACTTAGATTAATTCTTGCCATATTATATAATAAAATCGTTATACATTCTCTTTCATTATGCATTATGACAATGACTGAATGGAGATATATCCTCTACATATATAAAAGAGGAAGATTTGTTCCTGTTCAAATTGCATCACGCTGACCCATTGTTGACGTCATATAGCTCTTAACAATTTTTTTTTATTCCCCTCAGCTTTCTGACTTTCTCGGTACACTCATTTCTCTCTCTGTCTGGCCATTTTTCCCTTTTTTTCCCCTTCATTCATTTGGTTTCTCTCTCTCTACGCCATTTCTCACTATTCTCATTTCGCCCCACTACGCCATCTTTCTGTCATTTTGAAAGCAAACTCCAGTGAATCCAAGGTAATTCTTCCATGAATTTTCCTGTTTTTGCTTATATTGTTTTGCTTTTTATTCGGGTGGGGGTCTAAAAATTAGGATATTTTAATATGCTTTGGCCTACAAATATTCTTTATTTTCTTTTTTATGTCTAATCTTGTTTTTGAGCTTCCTATTGAAAAAAGTTACGATTGTTGAGAGTACAGAAGCCTGCTTTGTGGTGAAGAGTTGAATTTTTACCTTTTGATTTCTAGGGTTTGGCTTTGTTTATCTTTTACTTTGATTAATTTGAGGGACAAAAGAGTCTGATTTTTGGCATAAGGTTTGGATCTTTTTTGATTTATAGGGCTTAGGCTTTGATTTCCCACTATTTCTTTCACCCCTTGCTTTATCGGAGCCGCTATAATCGGATTTTGGTACTTTTTATTGGTTTTTTTTTTTCGTTGGTTTCTCTGCTTTTCGACTTACTTTCTTGTAATGGATATATACGATTGTTTTAGAATTTTCCTTTACTTATGATGACGTTGAGTTTAGATATATGTTTATATACAGTCAAGTCCTTTACCCTTATCTGAAATTTGAGCTTAATTCTTTGCAGCAATTGATGGATAAACATTATAATTGGAGCTTGATTCTTTCATGTGCTTTGTGGTTCCTCTTTCAAAAGAGTAGTTTCCATGCTTTAATGTATGTGCATTGCATAACTTTTCATTTGCCGAGTATACATTTTCTCACTGTTGTGTGATATACATTTTTACATTTGTTTATTTGGTAACAGTGACACACTTTATGTCAATGCTGAACTGGCGGCCAACCTTCAATTTCAAATGTTATCTTTCTGTAAAGTTTCTATTAGGATTTACACGTTAAAAGTAGAATTTTAAAGCTTTGAAGTTATTGTCAAATGTAGATGCATTTGAGTTTTTGAAATTACTCCTATATTAATTTATGATCTGAGTGATGTTTAAATACACAAAGTTAAAGGATTATATATGTCATCCAGATATTGCTTTTATCGCACCGAAAATTTATTGAAAATTTATTTTAAACACATTTTATTAACAATCTTCGGATTTTTTTGTATAGAATAGTTACAACGAGCCTATGGAAGATAATATTCATTCGCAAATTTGGGCAATCTGTTGGATCATCTTGGCGAAGTAAATTCTTTTTGTTGAATCAGGAAATTGCTGACAATCCAACTATTTTGCTGGTTAGTAGTTATATCTATATTTTATTGATTCTCTTGATTCATTTATAGTTTTGTTATTTTAATTTTATGTTACATGTTCAGTTGTATCAATTATAAATTATATTCTTTTGATATAAGTTTTTATTTTGATTCAAATGAGTACAAATCAGAGGCTTCGGTGGCGGCTGAATTTTGTAGCAAGCGAGCACGAACGATTCCTACTTTAACAGAAAATACATGTGATGAACAACGGAAAGAAAAAAGAGTAAAAACTAGAAAACAACCTGGTAAGAATCGTGCTACAATGTTTAATTTTATTATTCTTTGTTTTGTTTTACTTGTGACGATAAAATTGTTTTAAGAAAATGTAATATTCATATATATTTGACTATTACATAATTGCGATTCTTTTTTCCTTATTAGGGTGTTCACATGAGCGGCATTATGATGAGAATCTTTCCTCAGAAACTTATGTGCTACCTGAAACAACTATTTGTGATTATTGTGGAGCTATAAAATTTTTTAGAGAAAGTAAGGGATTTTGATGTTTAAACGGACAAATTCTTTTGAAAATAAACGATGTGCCTCTAGAATTATATACATTGTTTACTTCAAATTCTGAAGAATCTTTAAACTTTCGAAAAATGGTGCGAAGCTATAATTGTAATTTTTCTATGACATCATTTGGTGTGAAATATGATAAAACATTATGCACAAATGGTATTTATACATTTAGAATTCAGGGTCAGATATACCATTTTATAAATGAAATTATTCCAAAAGACAATCGTCCTTCTCATTTGCAACTTTACTTTTTTGATACCGATAATGAAGTGCAAAATAGATTAAATCTTAGTGAATGGTTAGTTGAACCTCTTATTGTTAAATTGATGAAAATTTTAGAGAGTAATCCGTACACAGCATTTTTTAGAAATTTGGGAAGTATTCCTGACTTAGAAAATCATTCTATTCGTCTCCGATGTAATCCAAGTACTGATCAGAGAACATTTAATGCACCCAATGTTTCACAAGTTGCTGCTATTTGGGTTGATCATGATGACGATGTTGATATACGTGATATTATAGTTCATTGTAAAGATGGAAATCACAATAGAATACAATATTATTATGGATGTTATGACCCACTTCAATACCCACTTTTATTTCCTTATGGTGAAACATGTTGGCACCAGGGTATTCAGCGAATAAATACGGGAAAAAAAATAAATAAATAAAGAACAAAACATTTACGGAAATGAAGACATTGTTGATGCAGTTAACTTTTTGTCGCCTAGGAATTGATTGAGAAAGAAAGATTAGGTTAGTTCATGATGTCTTAACATTTTTACTTTATAAGTTATTTATTTGTGATGAATACTTTGTGTGAATTTTTATGTTTTATCTTATTATTATATGAATTATTAACTTTTTTTTTTTAATTTAGTGATGGAAAATAAGAAAACCAGGATGCAAGTATCATGTAGAGAATATTATTGTTATAAATTACAAATAAGATTATCAACAATTTCAATATTATTACATTCTGGAAGGTTATTACAATAGTATGTTGTTGACATGTATGTAATAATTGAAACATCTAGATTAGATTATTTTCATCACAATCAAAGTATACTTCGAGCTGAAGTATCAAGGAATTATAGATAGTCTTGAAATTGGTGAAAAAAGAGGTAATAAAATTGGTCGTTTGATCGTTTTGCCTCGATCTTTTATTGGTGGTCCTAGAGATTTAAGAAAACGTTACATGGATGCTATGTCTTTAGTCCAAAGATTTGGTAAGCCTGATATATTCTTAACAATGACTTGTAATCCAAATTGGCCTGAAATTAAGGAACAATTGAAGTATAATGATGAAACTCAAAATAAACCTGATTTAGTAGCCCGTATTTTTAGAGCAAAACTTGAACAGTTAAAGGAAGATATTCTGAAAAAGAAAATATTTGGACGGGTTGCCGCGCATATATATGTTATAGAATTTCAAAAAAGAGGGCTCCCACATGTGCATTTTTTGCTAATTCTAAAAAATGATTGTAAGATTGCATCTCCTGAATTGGTTGATAGATTTGTTAGTGCTGAGATCCCTGATGAGATTCAATATCCTTATCTACATTCCCTTGTCGTTAAACATATGATGCATGGTCTGTGTGGTTTTTTAAAATCCAAAAAATGTTTGTATGAATAATAAAAAAAAGTGCAAATTTGATTATCCAAAAAAATTTGGTGAGAACACAATTATTGATGAGAAATGTTACCCTAAATATAAACGACCTAATAACGGGAAAAAAGTGAAGATTAGAAATCATTTTTTAGATAATAGGTGGGTTGTTCCATACAACGCATACTTATTAACAAAATATAATTCTCATATTAATGTTGAGATATGTTCATCAATTCAAGTTGTTAAGTGTTTATATAAATATGTTTATAAAGGTCACGACAAAATTGATTTTACTGCCAATGACAATGATCCCGAATTTGTTTATGATGAAATTAAAATGTATCAATCAGCTAGATGGGTATCTCCACCTGAAGCTGTATGGAGAATTTTTGGATTTGTTTTATATGATATGAGTCCATCTGTTATTACTCTACAATTGCACTTAGAAAACTATCAATCTATTACATACAAAGAATTTGATGATTTAGAAGAAATTGTGAAAAAAGATCATTGCAAAAAATCAATGTTGACAGAATACTTTCATATGAATATTAGTAATTATAAAGCGAAAACTTTGTTATACAAAGAATTTCCAGAACATTTTGTGTGGAATTCACAGTGTAGAACCTGGTGTGAAAGAAAAAATAAAGTTTTCTTAGTAGGACGAATTGTTTCTGTAAATATTATAGAAGGAGAAATGTATTATTTACGAAAATTGCTAAACCATGTTAAGGGAGCTATTTCTTATGAAGATTTGAAATATGTTAATAGAATTCATGCTTCGACATTTCCTGAAGCTGCATTATTACATGGTTTTCTTAATGGTGATACTGATTGTGAAATGTGTTTGCAAGAAGTTTCACAATATCAAATGCCATCAACATTGCGTCAGTTGTTTGCTACAATTTTAACATTGTGCGATCCACATGATCCCAAAAAATTATGGAATCATTTTAAGCAATATATGATAGAAGATTACGTAAACAAAGGTTTAGATACAAAAGTAGCCGAATTAAAGGTGTTAAGTGATTTGAATGAAATATTACGACTTTCGGGTAGAAATTTGAATGATTATGGAATTGTTCAACATCATATTTCCTTCGAAGAAAACAATCATCTTGCGAAAACTATTACAGACGAATTAGAAATAATAGTTTCAGATGAAGATATGTTAAGTGAAACAAAATTAAATTTAGAAAAAAAAAAAAGCATACGATATAATTCTAAATGATGTCTTCAAGAAAATCAATGGAGTATACTTTATTCATGGGAAAAACCTTTTTGTATCGTTCTTTACTTACAGCTGTAAGATCTAAAGGAATGGTAGCTTTGGCCACTGCTTCTTCTGGGGTGGCAGCATGATTACTTCTTGGAGGTAGAACTGCTCACTCAAGATTTAAACTCCAACTTCAGGTTAGTGGTAAATCAACTACTTCAGTTAGTAAACAATCATCTTTAGCTGAATTACTAAGAATGACACAATTAATAATATAGGTTGAAGCTCCTATGCTAAATAAAGCAATTATTGAATCGTTAAATGAGATGCTACAAGATATAACTGAAATTAAAGTTCCATTTGGAGGAAAAGTAATCGTTCTAGGAGGCGACTTCCGTCAAATATTACGCGTTGTTCCTAAAGGACAAAAAAAGGATATTATTGATGCAACATTTGTGAATTCATATTTATGGCCATTTATAAAAATAAATCAAATTAGTTCAAAATATGAGAGCTAAAATATATTTACCTTTTTCTGAATATTTACTACGAATTGGAAATGGGATTGAACATTTACATACGTGTAATATGATTACATTTCCAGATGAAATGGTTATTGCTGATGATAATGAAACCACTTCCATAAAAAAGTTGATTGATGTTGTATTCCCTGAATTAAATACTTATCCAGATAATAGTGAGACCATGATTAATAGAATCATATTAAGACCAAAAAATGAGAATGTTGATTTTATAAATGCGATGTTAATAGAACAATTTCCCCGTGATTCTATTAAATACTATAGTTTTGATGAAACAATCAATCCTCATGCACAATCATTTGATGAGGATTTTTTCAATACTTTAACCCCCAATGGTGTTACACCGCATGAATTAATTTTGAAAACAAATTGCCCTATTATTTTATTGAAGAATATAAATCCATCTGAAGGTATGTGCAATGGAACTAGGCTTCTTTGTAAAAGATATGATCGAAACATAATCGATGCTGAAATTGCTGTTGGACAATATAAAAACAAGAGAGTTTTCTACCCCGTATACCATTTGTACATTTTCAAAATCATATGAATCCAATTCGATTCAAAAGAACTCAATTCCCAATTCGTGTATGCTTTGCCATGACTATAAATAAAGCGCAGGGTCAAACTCTTGATTTTGTTGGATTGTATTTACCTGAACCCGTATTTTCACATGGACAACTTTATGTTGCATTATCAAGAGCAAAAAGTAGTAAATATATTAAAGTTCTTATGAAATCAAATGGAGATAGTCAAAACCATTACACTTGTATGAAGAATGTTGTATATAAAGAAGTTCTAGCTGTAGTTTCTTCCACATGAACAATAAATTATATTTGACCGATTTTCAGGGCTTGTCCTTCGCATTCCCAATCCCCTCACAATATGCAGAGTGCTGTTTTGACCGAGAAGGTATTTTATTTTTGTAATTTGTTTTGTGAATTTGATCAAGTGCCCTATACAAAAGTGCTTGATAGTCATTTATTGACTTTTATCTGTGAAAGCCGAACTTCTTTTGGAGTTTCCTGATGGCACAACTCCTGTTACTTGCCGTGTCTCAATATATGATTCTTCAGCCGACAGTAAGGTCAGGCTAGGATCTCCTATGGACAAGGCCCGTGCTCCTCTGTTGCCTGCTAGCATTCTCTACATGGAAGAAGTGCAAGTGAAGGTTGGATTACTTGTTTCATTGTGATGATTCTGTAACTGGCAACTTTTCTTCCTGTTTCTTTAAGCTTTATCTATAAATATGAATCCACCTTTATGGGGATAGTGTAACAGATTTTTCAAAAAGCAATTAGTGAGCAAGGGAGAAGCCAAATTTGTTCTACTGTTCCATTTCTGCGAATAGATAGAGGAGAATTCTTATCTCTGGTTCCATTCACTATCCAAGAAGTACCCTGGAGGTATATTTATTACAAATGTACATTATTGTTTCTTTTGTTTTTCGTTTTCCTGGTAAATAAGGTGTTTTCTATAAATTGTCGAGTTCCGTTTGAAATAAATTTTGGCCTTTTATTGATGAATTGAAGTTTTATTCTTCATATTACAGCTTTCACCATGCAGTAAATCGCAATTAGTGCTAACACGTCTTGTGTCTATTGTAGTTGTTTTTCGATTTTTTCATCCGTGCTGTTGAATATGAAATTTGTTGTTGAATCTACGAAATTTGTTTAAATTTTTTCAGTCTTTTGGTGTTTAGTTTTAGGTCTTCCACTTTTTGCTCTGTTTTTATGAGATCGAACAAAAAATACCTAAACTATGTTCATTTCATATTTTTGTTTTGTTTTTGCGTTAAATTTATTACTTTTATTTTTGATTTGAGTTGTGTGAAACTCTTACAGCAGGATGAACATTTTTTTTGGGTTTTTCTTAGGAGATAGACCACAAAATGCCTAAACTATGTTTATATTTCATATTTTTGAGAGGCCGTTGTAACTTAGAGTTTTGAAGAAAGGTTTGGCAAACGTTAAAGAATGTAATAAGCCACTGATGTTGTATAGATTGTGGAATGTGACAAAGTAATAGACATGGTTTAGTTGATTATTATAAAACTTGTGATAATAATAGTATGCTATGGAATGATCTTATACTTGGGTATGTGCTTGCAGTTTTTTATTTATTTTTTTATTTTGATTGCCACTGGTGATGGTTGAAGTTTTGATTTTTACTGGTTGCTTATTTTTATTTTTTTTTAAATTGCAGCCCAGATGACACTCCTTGGGATGGAGGTGAGAATATTCTTGCACGAGAAAATATACTTCTGCGATCGTTAATTCTTCAATTTCTGAATCTTATAAACCTAATATTTATACATGTTCTATTTCAGCAATTTTTGAAAGAGATATTGAATAAGGTCTGTGTATTAAGAGGAACCAACCAAGGAACTTATCAGCTGAAGCCAGAGTATAAAAAATCCACTGAAGATACAGGTGCTACATAAGGATAGTTTTTATTTTATAATTAGGTTGTGCATCAAGGCAATACAGTTGACTAAAGAATGGAGACCATTATAATATCCAAAGGTATTCATCGGTCTGCAAATTAGGTTTCCCTATGGTGTAAGCCTATCCTATTATATTTGGTGATAATATGCATCTTACCATCCTTAAACTCAAGAAACAAGCTGAGGATATTAAAAGCTTTATATTAACTATAGATTGTTTCTACCTATCAAAAACTATAGATTGTTTCTGCCTTTTGATTAAATTGTCTTCATGTAGTGATTAGATTAGTAGGGCTGGTACATATTATTTCACAGTTGTTCTTTATTTCTTTTTATTTTCCCTTCTATTTATTAACATAGTCTCGAATGTAAATAAAAGTCAGAAAGTCAAAATTCTTAACTGTGTTTTCAGGGACACAATTATAGCCATATTTGTTATCTTACCTATGTTTTTAAGCACACAGTTATAGTCAGATTTGTTATCTTATGTTTTCACATTTTCTCTTTCCATGCATCTGTGATTGGATGAACTGAATGCAAAGGAACAAGATTAGATTTTCAACCAACTTGGTCAAGGCTGTTCTGAATGTAATTTATGGAAAAAACAGAGCTTAAGTAACTTTATTAAACATTAGTTCATTCAGTTTTATGCTACCATTGTTTATGCAAAAAGTTGTGTTATGAGCTCATATTGAAATGTGTTGGTTATGGCTTTAACAATAATTTCATCTGTTTCACTTTTTTGAGACTTCCTTCCTGGTTATAACTCTTCCAAAATCATTGCTGCTGCATATTTGTCATTGTGATGGTTGGTTCTTGGTGAATAATGCTGTTGCCTCAACTTTTTCATGTCTCGTATTGATATCAAGCAGGTTTAAAGGAAAGGGTTGCCACTAGATGAAATTCTCAAAACTATGAACTTACACCATTGTTCTTATACACCATTTATATTTGCAGCATAATTCAAATTGTTAGTTTTTCT